GTTTTCCAACATTGTTTTGCTGTTCTGGCATTTACTACTTGAAAATCATAAAATTCTCTTTAAATTTCTTCCCACGCTTTTGTTTTATCGAACATATATAGATTTAAAATCTTTTTTTCTTTTACATTAAGATTTTTAATAATTAATTCTTTTAACATTTTTTACACGGTTTTACACGACATGGTTACACTTTTGCAATGCATATTGGTCTTCATCTCCCTTAGAGAGGTAAGGTTGAGTAAACAAAACGAATACCAATTTGCACATTGTGAGTTCTACTCCAGCGTTACTTGAGGTGACCTTTCGTGAGTTTAAGTCGAGATTGAGATTAAGAATAGTTTCTGAATAAAGGCCTTAATTCTTGAGACCTACGTAACCTAAATCCCTTTTTCTTTTCAATGATTGATACTTGCATTTAGCATTACATAGTAATTCCCTGTTTTATTACATTTTATTAAGATTAAAGAAGCTAAGAGCATGTTGATACTCTTGCCGCGAAACTCTGCATTCATTATCATACCAGTCTATCAACATTACAATTCGAATAATGCTTAAAATATGGATCAGCAGTACTTTGAATAAGCGCAGAAAAAGAATCATCAGTTTGATCAATATTATCATTACTGACAATATCAGTGTTTATTTGTGACAAAATTTCATTAAATTGCGGTTGTTTAGCGATATCATCCTTTATATGCAGCATTCCACTTATAGGTTTATTTTTAGTGAGAACGTAATCGGCGCGTGATCGCTATACAGCTTAAACGAACTGAACGAATCAATCAGTAGATAGATTTCTGTTACTCGCCAATATTATAATCGTTACCGATTCTACCGTTAGGGGCCAGTTACACAGACGGTCGGTCCCCAATCGGTCATTTAATTTTAAATTAACTCGCTGTTATGATCGGTTGTCATGCGTGATTTTATTTCTGGTTTTCTGCGAAAACGGCCATCGGTGACAGAAAGCAAACTCAAACGGGGCTGGATCGGTGATAAAAATGCTGAAATACTATGGGTTTTTATCGTTTGTAAATCGGAGCTAAATCGGGCGTAACGCTGATTAATCGGTGTTTGATAGCTATAGCTATAGTTTTATAGTCATCAGTGGTAAAACACTTTCGCCAGAAATGGCCGGTGATTCATATTTGGTTATCATTGTCCGATTGGCGATATCGGTGATTAAGAGCTTGCATATCTCGTTGCTGTCGGTTACATGTATTTATAAAATATCTTCAGCGATCGAGAATTTTAAACATTTTTTCACCGATAAAACTTATCTTTCCCCAATAGTAGTTGATAGGTCGAAAACAGGTGACCAATATAGGTGATATCGGTGTTAAATACGTTGTCATCGGTTCACTCCATAATTTGGCTAAAATAACTACCGATCAATCACCGATGGCTGTGTAACTGGGGTTTTAGCAATCCGTTTTGAAGCTGCTTTGCGAAATTCGAGCATTTGTGTACCACTTTATTACATATTTTATCGGAAGAGGCCCGTCCCAACGAAACATCTGGGTAATAATTATCATAATCTAGACCATTATCGCATGCATCAATTGAAATGTAATCGTGTTTATTTTCTACCCTATAGTTCCGAATCTCAAAATCCTGACAATATGCGCCAGGGCACTTGATGACAAAGCTTCTGTAAAACTTTCGTCAAAATCACTTGAGAAATGTAGGAGAAATTGTTTACGCCACTACCTCAATCTAATAACCTTTCTTTCCTTCGGAAAACCTGGTTAAAAAGTTATTGATGGTAAATTGGCTGTAACGTTAAAAAGTCATAAAATCAGAGCCGATATCGTGAATGCTAGTTGCTTGCAAATTATGTAAATACTCAATATTAACTTGTATAGCAAAAGATAGTTATTGAAATATTTATGTGTCCGATGGGTTTTGGTACGATCGATGAGTTATATGTGCGCTACAAAAGATTCGATACTATTGACATTGTTAATAACTACCTAAAACTATATACCATTGTGGTGTGGACTAAAATGAGTTTATTTCTAAGACTGTCTAACAATATGAAGTCAATTGGTCAGTACACTAAGTAGGCGGAGCCTAACAATCAAGTTTCAAGGTACTGCATGCAATATTTAATGTAGAATTAAATATAAAACAATATATATTTAATGTAGAATTAAATATGAAACAATAATCTCACCTCTGATCTTCATGTTCTTCGTAAATGACCTTATAGACAATATTAACACTGATTTAGAAGGTATTTTTACAATTAACGAACTTAAGCTTTTTCTCATTTTATTTGCAGACGACCAAGTACTTTTTGCTAAATCCCCTGAATCTCTACAGGCAATGCTAGCGGATATTGAAACTTATTGTAATACATGGGGTTTGAAAATAAATACGTCTAAAACAAAAGCAATGATTTTTGAAAAAGGCAGGCATACACAGCATATTTTTTATATTTACAACACACCAATCGAACTTGTAGAATCATTTAAATACCTTGGATTTACCCTCTTTAAAAATGGCAATTGGTTTAGAACTCAAAACAGAATAGCTCAACATGCCTCATTTGCTTTACATAACCTGTTTAAAGTATTTAAAAATATAGAACTGCCAACCTATCAGAAATGTAAATTGTTTGATTCTCTAGTCGGTTCCATTTTGAATTATAATTCGGAGATATGGGGAATGCACGATGCTTAAGATATAGAAGTTATTCATACTAAATTTTTGCGGAGAGTCTTAGGGGTTAAAAAATCTACTAACTTGTCAGCACTTTATGGTGAGCTTGGTCGTTACCCGTTACATATTACTAGAAAACTTAACATGATAAGATATTGGTCAAAAATACTTAAACTTAATGATACATCACTTGTTAAGCAAGCGTATTTACTTCTTAAGTCAGACACAGATGTTGGTCGAAATTATAACGGAAAAAATTGGGCTTCTTTTATTAAAGACACCTTGTCAAGTCTTGGCTTTTCATATATTTGGGACAATCAGTTTGATATAGATATACCATATAATACTATTAAACAAAGATTAATTGACACCTTTCTACAAAGTTGGTATGCATCTATCAATAATTCACCAAGATTACAAACATATTGTATATTTAAACATTCTTTTGAAATGGAAAAGTATTTAGATTATGTCCAAGAAAGTAAATACAGAACTGCTTTAACTAGATTTCGAACTTCTTCCCATAATTTATTTATAGAAACTGGTAGATACGAAAACATTCCTAGAGAACAGCAATTATGTAAATCATGCAATATGAAGCAAATAGAGAGTGAATACCACTTTCTCCTTGTGTGTCCACACTACCGAGATCTTCGAACAAAATATTTAAAAAAAATACTACTGCCATTGTCCTACTATGAATAAATTAGATAGTATCTTGTCGTCAGACTCAAAGAAAACTATTTGTACCTTAGCTAAATTTTTGTATTGGGCAAATCATAAACGTATATCTTAATCTGATATTTTTTTCTGAAAAACTATATTGTATAATAATAATTATATATAAGTACAAGTCTTATTTGTTCCAATATTAACTTGTATTCTTCAGAAAACTTGTGTATAATTGTTAACTGCTATTTTTCTCACTGTCAGGCGCGTAGCTAGCTTTTAAAGAATGTGGATTCAAAATAATCCAGGGGAGTCAGGGGGCATGCCCCCCCCCCCCCCCCCCCTGAAATTTTTTAAATAAATGGTGAAATTTGGTGCGTTTTGGGGCCTCCGGAGAGCTTTCTTGACCATCGAAAATCCATTTATTTTAGCATAAAAATGGAGATGAATAGCTTTACTTTAGTCTATTTCAACTAGTCTACATTTCACAGCAAGTCTAACTTGCGGCCTTTGCTTTCGAAAATACGGCGCGTGCAAACTTCCGACTTTGAAGAGCTGCAAAGGCCGACAACTTTTCAAAAAAAAAAACTACGGTATGGTGTACGATTTAGGCTATATGATTTATAAAGTATTCAGTGTGGTAATTATCAGATCTGGCGAACGCGGCTGAATTTCAAACCACATTTTTTTTACTAAAAATTTTTTTTGTCAAAATAATGTGGATTCAGCTGCGTACTCGCGTATAGGCAGCTACGCGCCTGACTGTACATGTGTATCATTGTTAATTGGCTATAAGCAATGTATTTTGTTTTATGCTTAATAAAATTCGTATTCGTATATACCAGGGTCTTTCAAATAGAATGGTGTGTAAACCCTTCGCGCTACAATTAAACTTCTATTTGAAAGACCTAGCTGGTAATATATATACTGAACAGTTTTAAGCACAAATGGAGTACACAAGAAGCACAAGAGAAGCATATAAAAATAATATAAAACAAAAATAAAGGCCTTATGCAGCATGTTTATCTTAAAGTTTTGTTTTCTTATTAAAATTAAAAAAACAAAACAACAACAACAACAACAACAACAACAATAAAACATTGTTTCTTTTTCTTCCAAAAATCAGAGACATAGATAACAGAGATAATTTAAGCAGCTCCTATATACTCATTTGAAATATCACTCATGCCTATCAAAAAGTGAAAAATTTGGCATTTTGAAGCAAATAAAACATAATGGATATACATGTACATTTGATCCTTTAATATTATGTACCATTTAAAAGGAAAATCTTTTATCTATTGCTGCATGTTAAAATATTTCATTTTGTAACTTTCCATGCCTTTCACTTCGAAAAAACAAATACTCACTGAGCCAGTTTTTTCGTCATATGAAGTTTTGTAACAAAAGTTATTAAGTAGTCTCCTTTAAAAATTGATGTATCATTTATTTAAATGGGAACCGTAATATTTTTTTTAACAGCAGCCAGAAAATGTATTATTTTACTGATTTTGATACCCGGTTAATAAGTTTTACTTGCTACAAGTTTTAAGTTTAGCAGGCATGCGTGGTATTTTAACTGGCTAGGAAGTTGCCTATCTCTGTTATCTATGTGTCTTTGTGCAAGTCCAATATCTAGTCTGTATAGACGGGCCTCTTCAGCCGCGAAGTCAGGTGACCTATTATATCACATGATAAAAATATGTCAGAAGCACTTATGTTTGGCTATTTTGCGTATGGACATGAATAAACAAGAGTGAATATACTATTTGAGAATTACGTTTAATTAACGTTCATTGTGCGTTATTAGAAATAGAGCTCTGAAAATTCTGACATAATGGATAGTGAATTTCTCCTCGACCAAAAACCTCAAAGTGAAAGTAGACTAGATCCACATGTAAGAAGTTATGAGACAAAAAGATATTCTTTCATTAAAACTATCGGCACTATATGCGTGGCAGCGATTTTAGGAGCATTTGGAATATATATTTCTATGAACTTGGATGAACTGGTAAAATATTTTTCTTTGATAGATCTACGTTTTATTTAATATACAGTCATCGTAACACACGGGCGTAGCCAATCTCCTACGCAGTGATCTCCCCTTATCAGTACAGAGATTACAAGTGAAAAATTAAAAAATATATTTAGTTTAAGGCGTAGCTAGACTAGAACGTTACTGTACTGGTTTTCTAGCATGAATCTTGAATGTTTTTTTTTTCTCTTTTATTTTTCAATCATAATATACAAACGTTCAAATCATAGTACATGTAATGAATACATAAAAAAATAATGTCAAATCAATGTTATCAGATTATGACAAGTATATTTGTATCTTGACTTAAGATCTTTTTATAAAAGATTTTGACAGAAGAAAATGAGTGCTAAGAAAAACTGATAGTATAAAGTGCATAGTAAGTATGAAAGAGAGAAAAGAAAGTGTATAAAGAAAGGAAAGATAAATAAAGAATGAGAAGAAAAAAAAAGAGAGAGAAAAGATAAAGATTAGTTATGTCCCTTATACTTAGTAAAAAAATATATCTAAAAAAATGGAGAAAATATAATTAATTAAGGAATGGACTAAACGGAGATAAGAATTGAAGATTGTTTCCTTTTCTATTTGTATATGCATAAATTATATGTCTAAATTGTGTGGTTTTGGGGTCTGTAAAAGTTAAGTTTCATTGAAATTTGACCATTTTTCTTCAAAATTTTGTAGATTGTCTTGTATTAATGATATTTCTTTTTCAATTCTAATCATGTAAGAGAGAAATGGCATAAATTTTTCAAAAGTGGGTATATTTTTGCTATATTTCATTTAAATATGAAGTATTTACACAGAATTATGATAAAATTTACAGTGTTATGTTTACCTAATATACCGAAACACACCTGTCTTAAGTTTAGAGGTATTTCATAACCTTTAGAGAATAAAAATGTTTGAATTTTGTTCCAGAAAACTTGTGTTAATTGACATTCCCATATTAAATGTTCAATAGATTCTATCTCCATAGAACAAAAATCACACAAATTGCTAGATGATAATTTGCATTTAAAAAGATATTTATTTGTTGGGACTAAACATATTAAAAATTTGTATTGAAAACTACGAAGATTTGTGTCGATTGTAGACTTAAAAGGTATATTAAATATTGGTTTCCAATCTATTTCATTGTCATTAAATATGTTTTCCCATTTTATGTCATTTCTGAAAAAGGGCCCTCAGAGATACACCCTAGCTTCAGTTCATAAAAGTGGCCATAACTCGATTTCCGTACGGTAAAGTTTGTTTAAATTTTGCGTACAGGTGTACTTTAAGGTATATATCTGACCTATGATTTAAATTTTTCAGTTCCTTATAGTGCCCGTTAGGGTGGTAATACCTTAAGGACGTTTTCGGGAGTTTTCTTATAGACATATAGGCAAAATTAAAACTGTTCCTTAGAATTTCTTTAAACTTGGCATGTTGTTAGAATATGATAACAGAAACATTTTAAGCGGAAAAAAATTGGGGTCTGTCCGTTCGTCCCCATCCGCTATTCTTGTCGGGACTTTGAAACAACAAGAGGTATCAACATGAAATTTTGTGGGTAGATAAATCTCATTAGGTGCAGTGCACAAGAACCATAACTCTGCCTTGCCTAACTTTGGAGTTATTGCCCTTTGTTTATTTTTATACTTGAAACTTTGTCCAGGACATAACTCTAAAAATTCAAGAGATGTCAACATGAAACTTTGTAGGTAGATAGACCTCATTGTGTAGAAGTGCAGTGCTAAAGAACCATAACTATGTCTTGCCTAATTTTGGAATTATTGCCCTTTGTTCATTTTACACTTTGAACTTTGTCTGGGACATAATCTAAAACTATAAGAGATATCAACATGAAACTTTGTAGGTAAATTGATCTCATTAAAAAAGTGCATTGCAAAAGAACCTTAACTTTGCCTTGCTTAATTTTGGAGTTATTGCTCTTTGTTCATTTTTACACTTTGAACATTGTCCAGAAAATAGTTCTGAAAGTATAATAGATATGAACAAGACACTTTGTAGGCAGATAGATCTCATTGGGTAGAAGTGCAGTTCAAAAGAACCATAACTCTGCATTGCCTTATTTTGGTGTTATTGCCTTTTGTTTATTTTTTACACTTTGAACTTTGTCTGGGACACAACAAGAGGTATACTTTTCTGTGTCCAAAACCTATTGGTGGAGCATCACCCGGTTCAACTGGCTCTTGTCTGAATGTTAACAGCATCAACATGATTGACGTACCATCAAAGTCTCCAGACTAATGTCACTGTGATAGAAAATACACCAGATTGAATCTTAGAAAATTTCCTATCTAACTGTGTTTCTTGGGTTTTTTTTTTTTTTTTCAAATTTAAGCTTTGTTGTGTTTTCTGTGCAATTGAGATTTATGTTTTTTTTTCAGAATGAACACAATTTAGAAGCAAATGGAACAAAAACAAGCATAAAACCGCAGAAGATACCATTTACAGATTCACCTTTTTGTTCAGATATACCCCATTCTAGCAGATATGACTGCTGGCCTCAGTCTGATGGGGTCACACAACAAAAGTGTGAAAATAGGGGATGCTGTTGGAGACCCTTTTCTGGAAACTCTCACCGGTAGTGATATTATTAGACCCACATTTTGTGGAAAAAATGTGGAGCTATTGTTATGATCCTTTCATTGGTGTTGGTTAAACTTTTTAGCTCACCTGTCACAAAGTGACAAGGTGAACTTTTGTGATTGATTTTCGTCCGCCGTCCGTCCATTTGGGCTATTTAAGAGAAGTAGGGGGGCCATGTGACTGTAAATAGAACAAAAGAGAACAATAAAGTTCATTCAGTAACAAAAGAATAGGGTGCCATGGCCGCTCTAGTAAACAAAAGAAAATTACAAAACAAATGGCCCCTTAGTCCATTTAAATGACAGTTCAGATATTAAGTAGTGAGTGTCTACCAAGTTTGTTCAAATAAAAGCCATGGGGTAAAAATTGGTCCCACGTTTGGGTCATTGTTTTTCCCTATAAGTGTATAGTTAAAACTTAAAAGATCTTCCTTTATAAAAACCAAAGAGCTAGAGCTTAGATATTTAGCACCAACCTTGTACAAATAAAAGCCATGGGGTTAAAATTATCCTGGCTGGTGGTGGGGGGGGGGTGAGTCATTGATTTTCTTTGCATGTATATATTAGGAACTAATGTTTTTACACATGCACTTTTTCAGATACAAATATAAACATTGTGATATCAGTTTAAGATTTAGATTTTATATCTGCTTTTGTTTACAATATTACTTGTTCCTTTTCATGGAGAATTTCAGGTGAGCATTTTCAGGGCCATCATGGCTCTTTTGTTATTGTTAAGGTCCATTTCAAAAGTGTTCACTTTCAAACTTGGTATACATGTTTACTATCAACATCATAAATATGCAGAGGAAAATACATGTAATCCTAAATTTAATCTGTGCTAAGTTGAACAATATTTTTGTGGTCCATTTCTCAAAATCTAACTGGAATAAAATAACTTGCTCACTATAAAAATTTAAATGCTTTTATCAGGGCTTGGAATCAAAACTGTGTCGTATCCTACAAGATATGTAAACAAACGCCGCCATCTTGGAACGAAAATGTTATGTTTTTGTTAATTACTCTTTTTATTGGAAATGACAGAAAACCAAATATATGTATTAACACGCTCCACTTTTTACCGCTTCGTTTGGTATATGTTGATTGCAGAACTATTTTGTATAACAAAAGTTAAAGCAAACTTGCAACTTGAAGTGGGACATATTTTTTAAGGAGTTTTGTGGATACAATTCAGTTCAATTTGCTATATCCATTGTTTATTTCATTCAGATCAATTATATACTCATTTCATAATTAACCATAAACTTCAAAATATAATTTTACATCATTTACTAAAATTTCATTAACCCATTACTTCATGAGCATTTTGTGAAAAATGGCTGTTTTCATTGAAAAGTCTCCTGTTACAAGTTCAAATTGCTATAAAACTTTTAAAACTGCTTCAATACTAATCAAATTGACTGGACCATTGCCTTTGTAACAACATGCCCAGGCTTAAATTTCCTGTTACCATGGCAATGAGGGGACATCTCAAAATTGCCAAAAATCACTATTTTGCGTTGATTTTTTCCATCAAAATTGATTTCAAAGTGCTGCAACTTCTCAATGGATTGAGATAGAGTCAAATGCTTTTCAGCATTCATTAAATGTTACCTTATAATCGATCTGGGGTCATTTTTAGCCTCTCACAAGTCCAAAATATTCTTAGTGGTGAGGGGGACTGCCGCCCCCCTTCAAACCCCCCAAGGGGGCACATTCCCCTTCAGGCAACCCCCTGATGTATCTTTCGGTTGGGGGGGGCCATGCCGAAAAAGTGGTCACTTTTTTAAACAACATTTCTCAAACAAAAACAAGCATTGAGAGCCTAAATAAGGCATTTTTTCACCATTTTAGACAACAATAAAAGGGGGGGGGGTGAAAAAGCCCTTAAAAGGCGTGTATATCTGGTAACAGGTTAAAAGAAATGTTTATTTTGAAAAAAAAAAATGATTAGTACCAAATGATACGACACAGTTGTATTAATATTGTAGGCTGTATATTGATTGGTTCAGCTATTTGCTTGTGGATTTATTAAGTATTTTTAGAATTATTGCCCTTGACTTATTAAAGATTTGCAATTTTCAACTTATGTCAGAGTTATTGCCCTTTAGATAGTATAAATTTGCAATTTTCAATTTGTGTGGACACAAGTTAAAAATTGCAAATTTTAACTACATCAAGGGCAATAACTTTAAGAAAACAAAATAAATCCACAAGCAAAACCCCAGGTGCATAACTTCACATGCTTAGCAACATTCCTGTAAAGTTTCATGATTCTTGGTCAAATACTTTTTGAGCTACATGCGACACAAGATGAAGTTGAAAATTGCAAATTTTTAGTAAGTCAAGGGCAATAACTCATAAAAAATATTAAATAAGTCCACTAGAAAATACCCAGGTGCACAACTACACATACTGAGCAATATTCCTGTGAAGTTTCATGACTCTAGCTCAAATACTTTTTGAGCTACATGTGACACAAAATAAAAAGGACCGACGGATGGACAGGACGGATAGATGGACGGACCGACCTAAAAGGGTAAATCCCCCTCCTCCTAAAATGGGGGGTACAAAAAGTTGCAATTCTGTCGCTGGGGATAGGGGGTGCTTTGACAGCATACCAACGCTCTTTCTTTACAAAATAATGCTGCGGATATCTACATGTTTGCATACCAAAAATAATTAAAATCTGAGATGTTGTAAAATTTTGGTCGGAAAGTAGATAGCTTCCTTAATATCAAATTATTTTCATAATTGCTCTACAGTATACAAGTTAGAGATCTTCCTTTCGCTCACTGAGAACAAATAACAGGTAGGAAGTGATTTATTTGGACGAATGTGAAGGAGAAGATATGAAAGTGACATTATTAACAAATAATACATGGCCTTGAGGGCAATATGCAAGTTTATGGACTGATTGGTCAGACTGAGGAAGGTATATGGTCCGAAGTGCAGCTGAGGGCAGTATACATTCCGAGGTCTAACCAACCAGTCTGTAAACTTGCATTATGCCCGAAAGGCCATGTTTTATTTGTTATATTATACCGAATCTAAATCCTTTCATCCCTTTTGTTGCTGACATTTTTACTATAATTTACTTTCAAATAATAATATATTTGTTCAGTGTGTGAAATATTTCAAACCCTAGTTGGAATTATTATTAGCTCGACAGAGCCGAAGGCTCAGGGTGAGCTATAAGTATCAAAGTATCAAAGCATCCTTCGTCCGTCGTCATGCGTCAACAATCGTCTTCTTTTCTGAAACTGCTGAGCAGATTTACTTCAAATTCAATCTGTAGCATCCTTGTGACAGTCGCACTTGAATTTGCTCATGTCATTTCAATTGGCCCCTTTTAGGGGTCAACAGAGCTAAAAATAGAAAAACCTTTAAACATCTTCTACTACAGAACTAATTGATGGATGATCACCAAACTTTGTCTGTAGCATTCTTGGGTAGTCTTTTATCAAGTTTGCTCATATTAATTTGATTGGCCCCTTTTAGGGGTCTCTAGGGCTAAAAATAGAAAAAACCTTTAGACATCTTCTTCTACAGAACTAATGGATGGATGATCACCAAACTTTGTCTGTAGCATTCTTGGGTAGTCTTTTATCAAGTTTGCTCATATTAATTTGATTGGCCCCTTTAGGGGCAGCTAAAGCTAAAAATAGAAAAACCTTTAAACATTTATCTAGAGAACTAATGGATGGATGATCACCAAACTTTGTCTGTAGCATTCTTGGGTAGTCTTTTATCAAATTTGCTCATATTAATTTGATTGGCCCCTTTTAGAGATCTCTAGGGCAAAAAATAGAAAAACCTTTAAACGTCTTCTTCTATAGAACTAATGGATGGATGATCACCAAACTTTGTCTGTATCATTCTTAGGTAGTTTTTTATCAAGTTTGCTCATATAAATTTGATTGGCCCCTTTTAGGGGCCGCTAAAGCTAAAAATAGAAATACCTTTAAACATCTATTTCTACAGAACTAATTGATGGATGTTCACCAAACTTTGTCTGTAGCATTCTTGGGTAGTCTTTTATCAAATTTGCTCATATTAATTTGATTGGCCCCTTTGAGGAGGCTCTAGAGCTAAAAATAGAAAAACCTTTAAACGTCTTCTTCTATAGAACTAATTGATGAATGATCACCAAATTTTGTCTGTAGCATTCTTGGGTAGTCTTATATCAAGTTTGCTCATATTATTGTGATTGGCCCCTTTTAGGGGCAGCTAAAGCTAAAAATAGAAATACCTTTAAATGTCTATTTCTACAGAACTAATTGTCTGTAGCATCCTTAGGTATGCTGTTATCAAATTTGCTCATATTAATTTGATAATATTAATTGGGTCGCTTGCGCATGCGCATAGCGAGCCAAAGTTATAAGCTACATCTCAAGCTTATGGCGAACCGAATTTTGGCTGAAATATACTTGCATGTAGTAAATAGTTCTGTATGGTCGGTAACAAGTTAGAAAATCCGTACCTTCATTCACTACAGGAGGGTTATCATACATTTTGAAATGTATCTTGATATCGAAAATTACAGTAAATTTGGGCTGTGTACAGAAAAAATATCAATGCGCGATTGAATCACGTGACAGGTCACTGGGGTCAGCCATATTTTTTCGATGTAAACATTTCGTCATCCAGGATATTTTGAAGAAATTGTAAGTTCTTTAGTAATTTTGACAGTTAGCTCGATCAAATAAGAAAGACTTTATGAAACTGAGCCACCCGTGTGAGATTTGTTAATAAAATTTGTCCCAATTTAGTGACGATTCCCCCCACCTAAAATTAACATTTTTAAAATTCATTTGGATTAAAAAAAATTTATGGTTTGCGTATTTTTGGCATTTGTTTAGTATATCCTTTATATTTAATAGATATCAGATAAAGGTTTAACAGAACTAACTTTTTAAAAATTTTTAATTTTTTAAAAATTTTTTGGGTTTTTAAAAAAAAAATTTTTTTTTTAAATATTTTTTTGGGGTTTTTTTTTGGGGTTTTTAAAAAAAATTTTTTTTTTTTTAAAAATTGAAAAAAGTTTTTTTTACCCCAAAAACTTTTTAAAATTTTCCTTTTTTTAAAAAAAAGGGTTTTTTTAAAAAGGGAAAAAAAAAATACCAAAAAAAATTTTTTTGGGTTTTTTGGGGAAAAAATTTTTTTTTGGGGTTTAAAAAGTTTTTTTTTGTTAAAAAAGGGGTTTGGCGTCCCAAAACCCCCCAAATTAAAAATTTTTTTTTTTAAAATAAAAATTTTTTTTTTTTAAAAAAAAAGGGGGGGAAAAATTTTTAGGGGTAAAAAAAAGGGGTTTTTTTTTAAAAAGGGTTTTGGAAAATTTTTTTTAAAAAAAAGCCCTTTTTTGGGTTTAAAAAAAATTTTTTTTTCCCCAAAAAAAAAAAAACCCCAAATTTTTTTAAAAACCCCGGGGGTTTTTTTGGGGTTTTTTTTTTTTTTTTTTGGGGGAAAATTTTTTAAAAGAAAAAGGGAGGGGGTTTTTTTTAAAAAAATTTTTTTTTTTTGGGGGCCCCAAAAATTTAAAATTTTAAAATTAGGGGAAAAAAAAAAAATTTTTAAAATTTTTTTTTTTTAAAAATAAAATTTTTAAAAAAAAAAGGGGAAAAAAAACCCCCAAAAAAAAAATTTTTAAATTTTTTTTGGGTTTGGGGGTTTTTAAAACCCAAAAAAATTTTGGGGGGGAAAGGGGGGTTTTTTAAAACTTTTTTTTTTTTAAAAATTTTGGGCCCCCCCCCCCCGGGGGGAATTTTAAAAAAAAATTTTCAAAAAAATTTTTTTTTTTTAAAAAAAAAAAAAAAAGGGGGTTTTTGGCCAATTTGTTTTTTAAAAAAATTTTTTTTTAAATTAAATTTTTTTTTTTGGAAAAAATTTTTTTTTAAAAAAATTAAAATTTAAGTTTTTTAAAAAAATTTTTTTTGGGGGGGCCCCCCAAACTTTTTTTTAAATTAAATTTTTTAAAACCCCCTTTTTTTTTTTTTCCCCCCCGGGGGAAAAAAAAAAAAAAATTTTTTTAAAAAAAACCCTTTTTTGGGGGTTTTTTTTTTTAAAAAAATTTTGGGAATTTTTAAAATTTTTTTTTGGGGGGAAACTTTTTTTTTTTCCCCTCCAAAAAATAAAAATTTTTTAAATTTTTTTTTAAAATTTTAAAAAATTTTTCCTTTTTTTTAAAAAAAAATTTTCCGTTTTTTTCCTTTTTTTTTTTTCCCCCCCAAAAATTTTGGGGGAAAAATTTTTTTAAAATTTCCGTTTTTAAGGAAAATTAAAAAAACCCCCCAAAATTTTTAAAAAAAAAGGGGGGCCCTTTTTTTTGGGGGGGTTTTTTTTAAAAAGGGGAAAAAAACCCCCAAAAAAAAAAATTTTTGGGGGTTTTTTTCCAAAAAAAAACCCCCCCCCAAATTTTTTTTGGGAAAAAAGGGTTTTTCCCCCAAAAAAAAAATTTTTTTTTTTTTTAAAAAAAAAAAATTTTTTTAAAAAAAAAAAAATTTTCCCCCAAAAAAAAAATTTTTTTTTTTTTTTTTTAAAATTTTTTGGGGTTTTTTTTTTTTTTCTTTACAAAAAACAAAAAATTCCAAAAAAAAAATTTTTTTAATAAAAATTTCCCTTTTTTTTTTTAAAAAAATTTTTTTTTTTAAAAAAATTAAAAGGAAAAAAAAAAACCCAAAAAAAATTATTTTAAAAAAAAAATTTTTTAAAAAAAATTTTTTTTTTTAAATTTTCCTTTAAAAAATTTTTTTTTGGGGGGTTTTTTTTAAAATTTTTTTTTTTTTTTTTTTCCAAAAAATTAAAAAAAATTCCAAAAAAAAAAAAAAAAAATTTTTTTTTTAAAAAACCTTTAAAATTTTTTTTTAAAAAAAAAATTTTTTTTAAAAAAAAAAATTTTTTTTTTTATTTTTTATTTAACCTTTTTATTTTTTTTTTTTAAAAGGTTTTGGGTTTTTAAATTTAAAAATTTTTTTTTTTGGGGAAAAAATTTTTTTTAAATTTTTTAAAATTTTTTTTTTTTTTGGGGTTTTTTTTTTTAAATTTTTTCCCCCCTTTTTTTTTTTTATTTTTGGGAAAATTTTTTAAAAAAAACCCCCAAAAAAAAATTTTTTTTTTTTTTTTTAAAAAAAAAAAAAATTTTTTTTTAAATTTTTTTTTTTTTTTTTAAAAAATTTGGGTTTTATATAACAATTTGATATATGTGATAAAATTGTATGTGTATATGTCTATTCCCTGAATAAATCGATACGATATTATAAACATGTATGATATTGTCTTAAGGTCAACATTTTACTTGCTTATGATTTGTTCCAATAGTTTGATGCATTGACCTGTTTTGAGTTGGTATATATACATGTACATGATGTAGCTGATTTGACTATTAAGCCAAATGATTAATTTAGATAACTATAAGTTGGGAATGCTTTATTGTTGATATGAAAATCATATAAATGCTAAATAAGAAATGCATTTATTTCAGGTGTGTGATATAACAAACTGTTGTGTGAGGTTTTTAATGTGACATGGTCAAGACATACTATGATAGTATTGTGCAGTGTAAGTTCTCTTTAGATGTTTGTTTATAAGAAAAACCCACATTTATTTTATTGAGCTCTGGAAAATTTTGAACACATATTTGACTTAGTAGTCAAATTTAAGAACAACACTACTGTCATGGAAGTATTTCCTGTACAAAAGCAGTATACCAGCTTTTTTTGCAATAAATGCTGTTGTTTTTTCATTGTGTCCAGAATGATATGCACATACTATTAAGAAATATATTCAGAAATACATTGAAAATTGTATATTTGTACTATTCTTATTCTATTCTTCCCGATACATATATGAATCAAAAGCTCGGCAACACTGTTCATTTTTGGGACATTTTACAATATTTCTTGGAAAACAGAGCGAGTGCATGATCTGAAATTTTTGCATATAGGTTTTTTTGCCAAGATCTACATCAAATAGAATATCATATTATCAATCTTGAAAAATTATTCCCATTTCCTGGTCATGTCAAAAGCCTCTCAGTGGAGTCCGTTTAAGTAATTCATATATGACATTGACCTTAATTAGATGACTGACCATCAAGATCAAATACTGAATTTAACTTATTGTCATATTGTTAATATTTATTTGTTTTGTGTTCGCATATATATTTATAAAGAAGAATTCCTTGAAAAATATTTACCTCATTTTGACTGGAAAAGTACATATATTATAACAACCTTAGAATTCAGCCACCAGAGGCAATTAATGCTAAAGGTAGTAATAAGAGTATGAGTCTGAAGTTTACAATATTTATGATTTCTCTTTGGTTACCGAGAGAAACAGTTTTCCTTTTTGTATTTTATTATATTGAAAAATGTATAATTTGCTATCAAGTTGTGTGTAACTAAATGTGTAGTACATTTTACATTATTTTCTGTTCTTAGTAATTAATCTATAGAGTAAGTGTATAGGTAAAAGAATCTCTGGTAAAAAATATTGAAAATCTGAAAAGCACATATAATGTGTCAGAGATAAATAATTTTGTAATTATTTAGAAAGGTCAAATATGTGTTCAATAATGTTTTAATGATGTATTTAGAGCATTTTAAATGTTTAACAAATGAAAAGAGTACCACTGAACAAACATGATGTGTTGTAAAGGTAGCAAAATGTGAGCAAAGTATTATTTGACTTCCATACAAAATACTGAATTAATGTAATTATACCAATTGCCAGATAATTTATCTACATGTACATGGTCAATGAGTACATGTAACTATTTGAGAACTGCAACAAGATATGTAAAAGGAAAGTTTGAAAAATAAAAATGTTATCTTTTCTAAGGCTTAATGGACCTTTAAAAAGTTATTATTTTAATATATATTTAACACAGATATCATATGTGCAGGAAAAATTGTGGTTAAATGATATAACTTGCCTATTTAACACTGATTACTTGTGCATGATCTTTAATATAAGACATTAAATTTTGTTCTCCTTTTTTTTTAGATGACTTCTGTCATGTTACTGTTTGATAACAGTGAAGGTACAGTAGGTTCAGACAAGTTATATACATGTATACAGGACAAGACAGCACAAACCGGCAGTTTGTTATAACAGCAAAAAGTGATGAAGTTTCAGCCATGATGATGATGATGATGATCCTATTTATAAATTCTTTGCAATTATCTGTAAGGAAGAGGTTTCTGCTGCAGAGAAGAAAAAATTCATACAGGTTTGTCATTTTTTCAATAATAAATTTAGGTCTGTTGTTGATTGCATGTACAGTAAAGGTCTTTCCTTATCATAAGGTTCTAAGGTATGTCATCTTGTGGTAATTACTGATCCCTTAGTAATTAATTACAGTCATCAAACTTTTTAAACATGTTTACTGTAATCACTTGTTGCATGGTGCATATGCCTGAGGCCCAGTATTTTGTGACAAATATCATCATGTTTTACTATTAGATTATGTGGAAAATGATTAATAAATGAATTACAGTTTTAGGGTTTTTCCAAATTTTCAATTTGCACCGATCTTGTTGTACATCAGGATTTTACTTTCTAATGTTTGACTGATATCATTGCAGACCTTTACTAATTCAAAATCATGACAAAGTATTTAAAATTATAAGTCTCCTTTCCAGAATTACATTAATTCATTGTAGGACTAGTAATCATACAAAAAAATATATATTATTGTAAACATGTTACACTAGAAAATTAAAAAAATGAAATGTATGCTCATCCATTCAAAAGTTAAATTTTCAATTATTTTTCTGAAAAACAATAACAGTTTATGCCCTGCTTCTAGTTTCTTGTATTTGAACAAATTATGCTGTTTCATTGTTTTACTAAACCTTGCTCCCACTTTGCAGTAAGAAGTTGCCGCCCACTCTGTTCAAATGAAGCTGTCTGAAGTACCCAGTAGAACAATGTTTTATTTCTGGAACAACTTAATTGAAGTGAAGCTTACTATGTGAAGGAGTTATTTCTGTATTCAAAAGGAAACTTCAGCATACAGAATACCAATTGAGGTATAGTAGTCCACTTTAAATTTTTACTTTTATCCATCTAAAGAAAGCATGAGATACAAAAAATAAGCGATAATAATCCCCAAACTAAACGAGACTTACCTTGGTAAAGTTGAAGTTTGGTTGAGATTTTATTCAGTCATACTGCTACTGGAGGGAATCAAATGAGATGCGCGCCGGACCATGTCGTATAAATCAGTCTTTAAAGCGCAAAAAATTAATGCACTTAACAAAAAATTAAAATACTCATTAACATATCGACCTATTCACAACAGATCAAAAAAGGGAAGGGAATCCATATGAATGGGTGGGATTTGATTCCCTCCAGTAGCAGTATGACTGAATAAAATCTCAACCAAACTTCAACTTTACCAAGGTAAGTCTCGTTTAGTTTGGGGATTTTATTACGTCATACTACTGTCGGTCTCAAATGAGACTTCAAAGCTGTTAAGGGCATTAAGCAATATGAAGTAGGCATAATACTTATATCATAATATTAAAATAAATCAAAATACCTGATAACTGTAATTAAAATTCTGTATACTGTTTCATAAAAATTTATTCTTGAAGTACTGCCCTTGCGAAACTACCCTTGTCTTTATTGATGTGTATAGATTTATCATAAAATTGACCGAAAGTCTTTGTATTAGACCATCCAGCAATTGACAAAATATGTTCTATAGGGACATTTCTTGCTTTTGCTCTAGATGTTGCTTTCCCTCGAATACTATGTGGCTTAAAAATATTAGTATCAATTCCTGAAGCACATAAGACTGTCTTAAGCCATCTACTGACTGTATCCCTTGACACATTATGATATGGTTTAATATAACTAATAAAAAGAGCTGTTATGTTTCCACGAATAGACTGTGTGCGATTTAAGTATTCCTTCAAGACAAAAGTTACACAAAGACGCCTGTCAGGCGGATATGACCTTAACACTGCCTGTGCATTATCAGAACCTGGTCGAGAATGTTTTAAAACATCACTGTACAATAAAATAACAGAATCCTTCTGCTTCTTCATATTTCTTATATCAAGAAGATGAATTGCCTGAGTCCTACAAGCAAGTGTTAATGCAATAAGCATTACTAATTTCAAAGTTAATAACTTCAGTGATAAACTTTTCACTGGCGATAAAGACCTTAAATATTTTAAAACCACTGAAACATCCCATGTTTCTTTATAACGAGGTACAGATGGCCTCAAATTGTAAACACCTTTCATGAATCTTATGACCAACGGATGAGATCCTGCTGCAAATCCATCCACAAGAATGCCAATCGCTGAAAGTGAGCTACGGGCAGTATTAATTCCACTATAACCAATGCCAGATTCAAAAAGTTGAGTTAAAAACTCTAAAACATAATTTACAGAAGAACAAATGGTACTAATTTTCCTCTCATTACAGAACTGAAACCACTTTTTGACTGTTGAGTTATACTGTTTTTGTGTTCTATGTCTCCATGAGGATAAGATAATGTCAACAGTTTTTGATGGAAGTTTTCTTGAAGAGAGAGAACTCCTGATAACTTGCATGCTATTAGCACTATTTTGTCGCTTAAAACATGAGTCTTGTCTGTTCCTGGGAGAATTAGTAATTTTTTCTTGCGTGGAAGAATAACTGGAAAGTCTATCAAAAGATTCATCAAAGGAGTCCACCAATTCTGAGTGGTCCATCGAGGACAAACAATCAAACATGTTGCCTTGTCTAGGCGAATTTTCTGTAGACATCTCATGATCAAACTGAAAGGTGGAAAAATATATGAATATTCAGATGACCAATTTAAAGAAAAAGCATTGACATATTTGGCCTCTGGATCTGGGTACCAAGATACAAATTTATCTATTTGTTTGTTAAGCCTCGACGCAAATAAATCAATAGAAGGAGTACCCCATCGATCAATCAATTTCAGAAAAATTGTTCTATCTAGCATCCACTCTACATTTTCATTAAATTTACGAGAACAAATATCAGCTACATTAGTTCTTCCTGAAATATAAGAGGCTGACAACCAAATACTTCTATCTATACACCACAACCAAATTTGCTTTGCAAGATCATTACATAACATAGACTTAATTCCACCCATTGCATTTATGTAAGACATTGCACAAGTATTGTCAGTTTGAATTCTGATGTGAACATTTCTCATGTCTTTACAAAATGCTTTCAATGCATAATAAATAGCCAAAGTTTCTAAATAATTTATGTGGTTATCAGCTTCTTTTTCTGTCCATCTACCACCAATTGACAAATTATCTTTCACCGCCCCATATCCATGAGACGAAGCATCGGTGGTTATAAAAACAGAAGGACTATCATGAGTAATATGTCTCTTTTGTGAATGCAAATTACAAATCCACCAAAGTAACTCAGATTTCATAGACAGAGATATCTGCATAAAAGCATCAAAATTACCAAAATTTATCTTCAACTGCTCAATTTTCTGCCATTCAATGTGCCGATAATGCAACGGCCCATACTCAACTGCAGAAAAACTTGCAACTAATAAACCTAATACTCTGGCCACTTTCCTTATAGGAACACTTTCTCGTGACCAGATATATAAGCACTCAGAAACTATTTCAGCAACTTTTTCTGCTGGTAAAGTTACAAACATAGTTTAGAGTCAATATCAAATCCTAAAAACCGTATCTTTTGTGTAGGGACCAGCACTGATTTCTTATCATGAATAATAAATCCAAGATAGGACATTAAACTCACTGTATCGTCAATATTGTGTTGACAAAGTGAAAAAGTGCTGCCTAGAAGTAAAGAATCATCAATATAACCTGTATTAACATGACCTTTCTGTCTTAATGTTGAGTAAACAGGCTTCATCAGTTTAGTAAATAAACGAGGGGCTGATGAAATACCATTTGGAAGAGCAGTGTATTGGTAAAGTTTGTTTCTCCATAGAAATCTGAGATACTTTTGATGATCTGGTGCAATATGAACAGTATAATATGCCAATTTAAGGTCAACAGAAGCCATAAAATCTCCTTTATTAATTAATTTAATGGCAGACTCAAAAGTGTCCATTTTGAAATGATAATAAGTAATTTGCTTATTTAATTCTTTTAAATTTAAAATCATTCTGGCTTCGCCATCTTTCTTTGGCACTGTAAAAATTGGAGAGATAATTTCACCATCTTCATGATTCACTTCAATTAAAACTTTCAGTTTTAACAATTTATCAATTTCATTATCGATAACTTCTTGTTCTTTAAGCGAAAAAGAATTACAAATTGTGTTTTTTAAACAAAAATCATCAGGATCAAAATTTGACTCAAATTCTAGATGGCAATGCTCAACAATATCTAAAATATTTTGATCTTGGGTAATATCTCTCCAATTTTTCACAAAATATCTCAATCTACCTGCTTCAAACTGACTCACCTTATCAATATTTATTTCTTGCTGCGGTCTTCTTGGTAGTTTTTTGGAAATCTAAATGCACCACCATTTCCACGACCACGGCCCCTCTTCATTACTCTGCCACGGTAAACACCTCTCAAAGGAAAACGACCTCTGGCACGAGCATTAGGATATCTACCCCTCATTCTTGAACCCATGCGATTGATGTCTTGAATTTCCTTAACATGCTTGCTCACATCATCACCATATAATAAATCTGTATATTTCTGAGAGGCAGAACATAAATAATGATACTCTTTGTTCAGATCAGTTTTGTGAGTCTCTTTTCTTCTTATGTTAATTAATTTATTTGCCTGACCTAATAAACCTAAAGCATCTGTCCCAGATTCAATTTCATATCCAGATAGTCTGTCTGAAGCCAAATTCAGAACCTTGGTAACAATGGCAGCAGCTTTAACAATAGATTCTTGTATAGACTGCATCTTAGCATCAATAGTCTGCATATGGGGAGATAATAAGTTCCAAACAAGACTATTTACTCTTGTTTTCGATAATGCTGTACAATTTTCTGGACGAGATGTCTCTTTCATGAGCAAGGCAAACTTATCATCAGAAATACCCTCACGAAACACATTATTAACCAAATTTGCTAAATCGGTGTCAACCTCGTCATCGACGGTTTCCAACAAATCATACTTGGAACAAACACCTTTAAAAGCCCCGGATGACCCCTGTTTGTTAATCTGCACTGACTGATCAGAAGGATGTTTATCTATATTACTACATATTGGATCAGTAACTCCCAAATCAGCATCGCCGAAATGGTCTTCCTCATCATGATCATTATAATAATCAACTGGAGTTTCCTCACAAAATGATAACATTTGGGACTCCAAAGACCTCAAATGGATATCTTGGGCTTTCTGATTTTTATTAATAGAGTTCAAAATACCCATCAGTTCTTGGTGAAATTTTTCACTCTGCACATTTTGTTCAGACAAGGAACACAACGAGTTCGAAGCTAACTCAACGGCTGCGTCGTCAAAGTTTTCTTTGTAGATGGGACTTTCGGGGGCTTTTTGACTGAAGTCACATCCACTGGTTTTGTCTGGTGACCATCAGAAACGCTCATATCGGCTAATTTCTGCTTTGCTTTAGCCTTATTGGCCTCACGCACTTCAACTTCGGCCATTACTACCGAAAAGCGTTAGCACTACCACAAACACAACATGTGGTAAAAAATACAAAAATAGTCAAAACCCAAAAAACGTTATTTACAGCGTAAAATAACTAAAAAGAAATAGTTTTACTTTCAAGCCACTACAACGTAATGACAAAATACAAAATAAAAATGTAAAACTAATTTACGACAATGGTCGATAAACCTCGTTTATCGGAGAGAGTAAAAACAACGTCTTTACTCTACTTGTACGATAGGCGCACTGATTTATACGACATGGTCCGGCGCGCATCTCATTTGAGACCGACAGTAGTATGACGTAATAAAATTATTTTCCTGACATCAGAATACACTATGGTTCTGCTTGCAGTTAGAAGTGATGTTCTTTTCTTGTACAGCAGCATTAATTGAAACCAATATTTGTCCTATCATTTAATTGAAAGTAATTGACAATATTCTTGTTTGTTTTTCAGCAGCATTTGTAAAGTTTAAGTCTGAATATCACACCATCCATTGCTTTTGATTTTCTTGTGACCAGAAACTAGCATTTTACATAGTGGTGTAAGCTTACTATGATAATTCATGCAAAGATATGATAAAAAAATTATAGAAGAAATATGTCTTCGATTTCACTGGTAAATTGTAACGTAGTGGAGCACATTGTCTTTATGATGTTGAATATATTCAGTGCCAGATAAACAATAACTTGCAACATGACAAATATATTTTATTTTCAGATATTTGTAGCTTTAGTTATGGGAGAACACAAGATTAATTGAACTGGAATCCCTTCAGAAGTTGACATAGCTAAATTCCACAGTTTAAACTATAAATTGACATAAAATTAATATACATTGGTTTTATTTTATACATGTATCTGTTAATATTTTTGTTTTCCATTATTTCCCAATATTGTTAATTTTGGATAATATAATGCCACAGAAAACTTGTCAGTCTTAGATTATGGCTGTTTAACAAAAACAATCCAGATTGTTCGTCATAACAATGAAATTACAGTTTTGCTTGTTAATAAAGTAATTTACATAAATATTTAATTTTTGTAAGCATGAAGAAATTTGGAACATACAAAGGGTATTTGTTTCTTTTACATGCATGATCCAAATATATTTCATAGAGTGAGAACCAGGTTCAATACCGGTATTTTCATGAATGGCATTGAAAAACATATGCAATGTATAACTTTGCCACAATGTTGGTAAATGGAGGCTGCTATTTTACTGTGACTGAAAGTAGTTCAGATATGACGCCTTATTATGTCCGAGATCTATAGCCCATCATACAAGCCAAAGAGAGCAGATTTTTTTTCTGTGTAGAATCATTAATTTTCAATGTTCATATTTGAAAGTGATTCTGTCATATTTCCTGAATTTCCTTCATGATTTGCAAATATTAATTATCTACTCTTTATTTATCACATTTTTCTGAGAAATAAATGTATTTCCCACAAAATATCTGTTTGTTTATAGGCTTTTCATCCTCATTCAAATAAAGTCTGACTTCTTTTGAAATTATACTTTATTGTGAAATAATCTAAAAGTACTGTCATTTTTTACTGAAAAGCATGTTATAAGTTATGGTGTTCAATTGATTTCTGCAGGACAACTTATGAAGGAAATGAAGTGTGTTGGTAATTGCCATGTTTTATAGTATCAAAAGACAGCTTTTGTTCAATTTTAACAACAATACATTTTTTGATGCAGTTATGCCCCTATTTAGCTCGACTTTTTTAAGTATTGTTACAGTCATCTTGGCATTGTCGAGGTCACCCACAAACTTGTACTTTGATCATTACTTTTTAGCTCACCTGAGCACAACGTGCTCATGGTGAACTATTGTGATCCCCCACCATCAGTTGTCGTGGGTCGTCAAAAATTTCTTTAAACAAATCTCCTCAGAAACCAAAGACTGCACAGTAACCAAACTTTGCAGGAATGACCCTACAGTTAGTGCCCTTTGAAACTTTTGTCCAGTGCATAACTTGAAAACTAGTAGTTGGAATTCAATACCACTTCATACAATGGTCAAGCAAAATGAGAGAAAGTGCAGTGTACAATAACCATTACTCCATCTGCAGTATTTATAGAGTTATTGCCCTTTGATCCTTTTCCTTGTCTTTCTGGACTTATTACAGAGTAATTCAATAAAACTTCATCAATGGTCAACCACATTGAAAGGAAATGCAACATACAAGAACCACAACTTACTATCTTTAATTGCCCACAAACATAACTCTATTTCAATTCTTTTACAAGGTATTCTGTTACATCCTAATGTCCAAAGCAGTCTTGTGTGGGTATTTATCACATTAAGTGATAGTTCTAGTTTTAACTGATCATACTTGACTTATTGTTTTGTGAGAATTTCTGACACTCTCTAGATGAAATTGTGACATTGATAAATCATGTATTCACTATCACTGAAAGTTTATCCCTGATGGAACACTTATTACTAGTATGCATATAAAAAGAAAGATTTTTCAACCATTTTCTTTTCGAGTTGTTTGACACTATCCAGTCTATATGCACATGGGTTAATGATAACTTTAATATCAGATTGATAATAACTCTTATCCCCAAGAATGAGCATGTTTTTCATATGTCTTATAAGTAGATGAAATGAGCCATGTCACGACAAAACCAACATAATGGATTTGCGACCAGCATGGATCCAGACCAGCCTGCGCATCCGCTCAGTCTGATCAGGATCCATGCTATTTACTATCAGTTTCTCTACTTGTTATAGGGTTTGAAAGCGAACAGCATGGATCCTGATGAGACGCGGCTCAAATTATCAATACTTAGTCATTGTTAATAGAGGTCTTGGTTACCTACTTCCAGCTTCTGCTTCAGTCAGTAGTGTACTCTTTAAAATTTATTCAACTTTCAAAGTATTATTTTGAGGATATAAAGCAATTTGATTTTTCGATCTCAACTGAACCACTTGAGAAAAAATACTGATTTTAAGTACTTTTGATAAACCGTGTTGTAATTGTTGGATGTTAATGATAAATCTCCCTGAATTAAATCATATGGCAAAATATTGCACTTTCCTTTGTACTCAGTCATTTCCACTTGAATATGACATGAACTTTTTCAAAAAAGTTGCTAAAGGACAGGAAATTTGGCCTTTCAAGTGATCACCAGCAATATAATGTCATATAAATTTGTCAGCGCAAGCGACCCTCCAGTGCTTTCAGTGCTTTGATTAATTTTAGCGGCCACTAAAGCCAAAAATAGAAAAACCTTTGAACATCATCTATCATCTACTGAAATAATTGATAGATGATCACCAAACTTTGTAGCATTATTAGGTAGTCTTTTATTAAGTTTGCTCATATTAATTTGAATGGCTCAAATTTAATATCAGAAAATATTGACAATGGATAATTTCCAACACTGAAAAGCAATTGTTTCTGGTGAGCGACTCAGGGCCATCATGGCCCACTTGTTATTATTTTCAAGCGATACAGCAAAAAAAACATGCTCTTCTTTTGTTATTCAATTTTTGTTAATCAAATTAAACAGGCAAAAAAACTTTAAGATTTAATATGACATCATCCAGTCCATATAAGAATTATGGACCGCCCCCGGTCTGTATGCGGTTTATGGACCGGATGAAGTCATATTAAATATAGAAGGGCGTATGCAAATGAGGTATAATATAAGATATTAAATGTAGCATTTAAATTGAAGTTTATATTAATATTGCTGTTTGTAGGTTTATATTAATATTGCAGTTTAAAGCTGTATATTATCAAAACTAAATTTTTGTTTTGGTTGATTATGATGATTTAATCTTCATTTATTTGCATAATGTCTATACATAAGCTGAGACATTGATCTTCCTTTTGCTAACTGTGAACCTGACGAAAGTGACTTACAGAATATCAAATATAGCGTTTAAACAGTTGAATATTAATACTGCAGTTTGAAGAAAGTACAGTAAATATGTTACATGTATATATTTTGTATAAATATTAATGTATCATGAAAATCATTATGTCCTGATGTTCAGAGCAAATATATATTTTAAAATATATTATCACTATACAACAACATTGATATTGAATAGCCATGTAGATTATCTTGCTCAATTGTTTTACGTGTTGTAATAATATTTCGCACCCAATTTAATTGACAGTAATCACGTGTAAATCCCATGTGTATGACAATGTATTTGAAAATAAATATTATTAGTTTCCAATTATATATGTCTACAAACTGCAATTTTCCTATAAAATTCTATCAAAATGCTATAATTCATATTTTTAAAGTCAGTTTTGATCACTTTCGTCAAAAAGTCACTTTTGTATTTTAGGCAATATACTGAATTTTTGATGATGATTTTATTTATGTGATATCTGTTGTTTATTTACTAGGCTTGGTGGTGTTCCATTTTGTTTCTTTCCAAGTGGTTACGAAGGTTACCAAGTGACAAGTTTACAGAAGTCAGATACAGGAATGAAGGTGAAGTTACAGCTGTCCCAACCAACAGTCTGGCCTGGCGATGTACAGCAAGTTGCCCTAGATGTTATATATGATACTCCTACAAGGCTTCATTTTAAGGTGAGACATAAAAGAGATGTTTGTTTTTTGCTTACTCCATATTAAAAAATAATAATTATTCGGCTGTTAACTTTGAACAAGATGTTTGATATACTGCGGAATGACACAATTAATTTTGCGAATCATCAATAAAAACAAAAGGATATAAAAATATTTACATTTATCAGCTTTACACTCCATGACCAATTTTCCTCAAATGGAAAGACAATGTTTTCTTATCTACGTATATATATAATGGACTGTGTAACTGTCTGTATATAGGTTTTCAAGATTTGATATTGTGGAACCAGGCTCAAAATAAATCATGCGTAAACATAGCAAAGATAAACCTAAAGGGGAATATGCTCGTCCATATGGTCTCTTTCTGATGGCGAGGGTAAACAAATCCAAATACACACAAAAGGGTCACTGTTTCATATGGAACAAAACACATTGGTGTTGCATTGGATTGTAATAAAATCATCTGAATTTTTCAATCTATCCGTTCCTTTTAGAAAATAGGAAATAAGTTTGTTTTGTAGAAATTTAAGTGTTTATATTTAAAAGTTTTGTATTTTTAGCTCGACTTTTAAAAAAAAAAGAAATAGAGGTAATTGTTATCGTTGCCGTTGCAGTTGCCGTCCGCAAACATGTATGTTGATCAGAACTTTTTAAGTTCTTGGTGTATTGTCTTCATACTTGACCACAACAACCCTTAGGACAATACCTTTTAGTAGACCAGGCTAACCTTCATCTATAAATGACCTTGACCTTCAAGGTTAAATGTCTAAATTTTGCTTGTTTTTCACTGATTTTTGCTATTATAACTTTGTTATCTTTTAATGGATTGTCTTGAAACTTGAACATAATAATCTTTTTAGGATAGACCTTCAAGGTGACCAGACAGAGGTCAAATATCTAAATTTTGCTTGTTTCTTGCATTTAGAGGCAATAATTATGTTATTGTCCCCCGCCTTTTCGAAGAAAAAAGGGGGATATAGAAATAGGCTCCGTCCGTCAGTCCGTCCGTCCCATCCGTCCGTCCGCACTACCGAATAGGGATAGAGGGCCATCTAACTGTAAACAGAACAAAAGAGAACAATAGAGTTCATTCCGTAACAATAGAGTAAGGGGCCATTGGCCCTCTATTAAACAATAGAAAATAACAAAAGAAATGGCCCTTTATTCCAATTCGGCCGGACGTCCGTCCGTCCGTCCGTCACACTTTAGTGTCCGGTCCATAACTTTTATGAAAGGAATTTGAAATAACTTGGCACAAATGTTTATTATAATAAGACGATGTGTCATGCGCAACAACCAGACCCTTACCTCCAGGGTCAAGGTCACACTTGCTCATTCAAGGTCAACATTACCTATTTGAGGGTATATGTCGTGTCCGGTCCATAACTTTCTTATCTATGAAGGGATTTTGTAAATACTTCCCATAATTGTTCACAATAATCAGACGATGTGTCATGCGCAAAAACCAGTCACCTACCTTCAAGGTCAAGGTCACACTTGGAGGTCAAATATTAACATAGTCTGTTACAGGGAATATTTTGTGTCCGGTCCATAACTTTGTCATTTTTCAAAGGAATTTGAAATTACTTGGCACAAATGTTTGTTATAATTAGACGATGTGTCATGCGCAACAACCAGACCCGTACCTTCAGGGTCAAGGTCGTACTTGCTCATTCAAGGTTAACATTGTCTATTTGAGGGTATATGTCGTGTCCGGTCCATAACTTTCTTATCTATGAAGGGATTTTGTAAATACTTGCCATAATTGTTCACAATAATTAGACGATGTGTCATGTGCAAAAACCAGTCACCGACCTTCAAGGTCAAGGTCACACTTGGAGGTCAAATATTAACATAGTCTGCTACAGGGTATATTTCGTGTCCGGTCCATAACTTTGTCATTTATCAAAGGAATATGAGATAACTTGGCACAAATGTTTGTTATAATAAGACGATGTGTCATGCGCAACAACCAGACCCATCCCTTTGAGTCAAGGTCGTACTTGCTCATTCAAGGTCAACATTGCCTATTTGAGGGTATATGTCGACTGTCCGGTCCATAACTTTCTTATTTATGAAGGGATTTTGTAAATACTTGCCATAATTGTTCACAATAATCAGATGATGTGTCATGCGCAAAAACCAGTCACTTACCTTCAAGGTCAAGGTCACACTCGGAGGTCAAATATTAACATAGTCTGTTACAGAGAATATTTTGTGTCCGGTCCATAACTTTGTCATTTATCAAAGGAATTTGAAATTACTTGGCACAAATGTTTGTTATAATAAGACGATGTGTCATGCGCAACAACCAGACCCGTACCTTCAGGGTCAAGGTCGTACTTGCTCATTCAAGGTTAACATTGTCTATTTGAGGGTATATGTCGTGTCCGGTCCATAACTTTCTTATCTATGAAGGGATTTTGTAAATACTTGCCATAATTGTTCACAATAATCAGACGATGTGTCATGTGCAAAAACCAGTCACCGACCTTCAAGGTCAAGGTCACACTTGGAGGTCAAATATTAACATAGTCTGCTACAGGGTATATTTCGTGTCCGGTCCATAACTTTGTCATCTATCAAAGGAATTTGAGATAACTTGGCACAAATGTTTGTTATAATAAGACGATGTGTCATGCGCAACAACTAGACCCATCCCTTCGAGTCAAGGTCATACTTGCTCATTCAAGGTCAACATTGCCTATTTGAGGGTATATGTCGTGTCCGGTCCATAACTTTCTTATCTATGAAGGACTTTTGTAAATACTTGCCATAATTGTTCACAATAATCAGATGATGTGTCATGCGCAAAAACCGGTCACCTACCTCCAAGGTCAAGGTCACACTTGGAGGTCAAATATTAACATAGTCTGTTACAGGGTATATTTATACCCCCAAAAACGAAGTTTGGGGGGGTATATAGGAGTCACCCTGTGGTCGGTCGGTCGGTTGGTCGGTCGGGCTGTCGGTCGGTCGGTTGGTCCAGACGTCCGTTGCATTTTCCTTGTCCGGAGCATAACTTGAAAACTAATGGTTGGAATTCAATATAACTACATACAATGGTCAAGCACATTGAGAGGAAGTGCAGTGCACAAGAATCATAACTCTATCTTGACTAATTACAGAGTTATTGCCCTTTGTTACTTTTCCTTGTCCGGGGCATAACTTGAAAACTACTGGTTGGAATTCAAAACAACTTCATACAATTGTCAAACACAATAAGGGGAAGTGCAGTGCACAAGAACCATAACTCTATCTAAAGTAATTACAGAGTTATTGCCCTTTGTTGCTTTTCCATTGCTTTTTTTTTTGACTGTTGCATTTTCCTTGTCCGTGGCATAACTTGAAAACTACTGGTTGCAATTCAATATAACTACATACAATGGTCAAGCACATTGAGAGGAAGTGCAGTGCGTAAGAAACATAACTCTATCTTGACTAATTACAGAGTTATTGCCCTTTGTTACTTTTCCTTGTCCGTGGCATAACTTGAAAACTACTGGTTGGAATTCAAAACAACTTCATACAATTGTCAAACACAATAAGGGGAAGTGCAGTGCACAAGAACCATAACTCTATCTAAAGTAATTACAGAGTTATTGCCCTTTGATGCTTTTCAAATGCCTTCTTTTTTTTGTCGGGAGCATAACTTGAAGACTAATGGTTGGAATTCAATATAACTACATACAATGGTCAAGCACATTGAGAGGAAGTGCAGTACATAAGAACCATAACTCTATCTAAAGTAATTACAGAGTAATTGCCCTTTATTACTTTTCCATTGCTTTCTTTTGTCCGGACCATAACTTGAAGACAAATTGTTGGAATTCATTATAATTCATACAATGGTCCAGCATATTGAGAGGAAGTGCAGTGCACAAGAACCATAACTCCATTTTGACTTATTACAGAGTTACTGCCCTTTGTTTCTTTTCCTTGTCCAGAGCATTACTTTAAAACTACTGGTTGGAATTCAAAACAACTTCATACAATGGTCAAGCACAATAAGGGGAAGTGCAGTGCACAAGAACCATAACTCCATCTTGACTAAGTACAGAGTTATTGCCCTTTGTTACTTTTCCTTTGCTTTCTTTTGTCTGGACCATAACTTGAAGACTTATTGTTGGAATTCATTATAACTTCATACAATGGTCAAGCACATTGAGAGGAAGTGCAGTGCATAAGAACCATAACTCCATCTTGACTAATTACAGAGTTACTGCCCTTTGTTACTTTTCCTTGTCCAGAGCATGACTTGAAAACTACTGGTTGGAATTCAAAACAACTTCATACAATGGTCAAGCACAATAAGGGGAAGTGCAGTGCACAAGAACCATAACTCCATCTTGACTAGTTATAGAGTTATTGCCCTTTGTTACTTTTCCTTGTCCAGAGCATAATTTGAAAACTACTGTTTGGAATTCAGTACAACTTCATACAGTTGTCAAGGACATTCAAAGGAAGTGCAGTGCACAAGAGCCATAAATCCATTTTGACAAAATACAGAGTTACTGCCCTTTGATACTTTTCCTTGTCCGGAGCATAACTTAAAACGTACAGGTTGGAATTCAAAACAACTTCATACAATGGTCAAGCACAATAAGAGGAAGTGCAGTGCACAAGAACTATGACTCTATCTTAAGTATTTATAGAGTTATTGCCCTTTGTTCTTTTTCTTTGTCTTTCTGGACTTATTACAGAGTAATTCAATTAAACTTCATCAATGGCCAACCACATTGAAAGGAAATGCAACATACATGAACCACAATTATCTTTAATTGCCCACAACCATAACTCTATGTTTCAATTCTTTTACAAGGTATTCTGTTACTAGTAACATCCTCATTTCCGAAGCAGACTTGTGGGGGTATTAATCACATTTAGTGATAGTTCTAGTTTGTGTCAGGTCTATAACTTTTTCATAGATCAAAGGATTTTGAAATACTTCGCCCAAATAGTCACTATAATAAGAGGATGTGTCATGCGCAACACCTGCA